ACTTATGTCAGATATACAAATGTAGGTACTGGGAATACCAGGTACGGAACTTATGTCCGATATACAAATATAGGTACTGGGGATACCAGGTATGGTCCTTATGTCCGATATAGGTACTGGGGATACCAGGCATGGTACTTATGTCCGATATAGGTACTGGGGATACCAGGTACGGTACTTATAGACTGCGGATACCAGGTATGGTACTTATGTCTAATATACAAATGTAGGTACTGGGGATACCAGGTATGGTACGTATAGGTATGGTACTTATGTCCGATAGGTTCTGGGGATACCAGGTATGGTACGTATGACCGATATAGGAACTGGGGATACCAGGTATTTTCCTTATGGTACGGAAGATATCAGGTATGGTACTTATGTCCGATAGGTTCTGGGGATACCAGGTATGGTACGTATGTGCGATATAGGTACTGGGGATAGCAGGTATGGTACGTATGTCCGATATAGGTACTGGGGATACCAGGTATTTTCCTTATGGTACAGAAGATATCAGGTATGGTACTTATGTACTGGGGATACCAGGTATGGTACGTATGTCCGATATAGGTACTGGGGATACCAGGTATTTTCCTTATGGTACAGAAGATATCAGGTATGGTACTTATGTACTGGGGATACCAGGTATGGTACTTATGTCTAATATACAAATGTAGGTACTAGGGATACCAGTTATGGTACTTATGTACTGGGGATATCAGGTATGGTGCTTATACCAGGTATGGTACTTATGTCCGATAGGTACTGGGGATACCAGGTATGGTACCTATGTCCGATATAGGTACTGGGGATACCAGGTATGGTACTTATGTGCGATATAGGTACTGGGGATACCAGGTATGGTACGTATGTCAGATATAGGTACTGGGGATACCAGGTATGGTACTTATGTCCGATATAGGTACTGGGGATACCAGATATGGTACTTATGTCCTATAAAGGTACTGGGGCTGTCAGGTATGGTACCTATGTCCGATATAGGTACTGGGGATACCACGTATGGTACTTATGTCCGATATAGGTACTGGGGATACCAGGTATGGTACTTATGTCTAATATACAAATTTAGGAACTGGGGATACCAAGTATGGTACTTATGTCCTATAAAGGTACTGGGGCTATCAGGTATGGTACCTATGTCCGATATAGGTACTGGGGATACCAGGTATGGTACTTATGTCTAATATACAAATTTAGTTACTGGGGATACCAGGTATGGTACTTGTGTCAAATATACAAATTTAGTTACTGGGGATACCAGGTATGGTACTTGTGTCAAATATACAAATTTAGTTACTGGGGATACCAGGTATGGTACTTATGTCCGATATAGGTACTGGGGATACCAGGGATGGTACCTATGTCCGATATAGGTACTGGGGATACCAGGTATGGTACCTATGTCCGATATAGGTACTGGGACTATCAGGTATGGTACTTTTGTCCGATATAGGTACTGGGGCTATCAGGTATGGTACTTATGTCCGATCTAGGTACAGGGGATACCAGGACTAGGTACAGGGGATACCAGGAATGGTTCTCATTTCTGATATAGGTACAAGGGATAACAGGTACATGTATGTAGTGGCATCACGCTAACAAGCGGACGACGTCAGAGGCTGGACCCCACACGGATCAGATACCAATCACAACTGATCGAGGTCACACGTTATTGCTTCAATGCATCCTCAGAAGAATCCAACGAAGGATAATAAAATACTACCTAATAAATTATTAACTACACTCGTACACAAACACAGAAAGTAGCACGCATCCTAACAAATATGTACAACGATATGGTACACAGAGGTTTCATCCCGAGTAGTCCCCTACATCTACATTCACGATATTACAATGGGGGCTCAACCCGAGTAGTCTCAACACCTACATACACGATATTACAATGGGGGCTCAATCCGAGTAGTCACCTACACCTACATACACGATATTACAATGGGGGTTCAACCCGAGTAGTCTACTACACCTACATACACATATGGTACACAGAGGTTTCATCCCGAGTAGTACCCTACATCTACATTCACGATATTACAATGGGGGCTTAACCCGAGTAGTCTCAACACCTACATACACGATATTACAATGGGGGCTCAACCCGAGTAGTCTCTACACCTACATACCCGATATTACAATGGGGGCTCAACCCGAGTAGTCTCTACACCTACATACCCGATATTACAATGGGGGCTCAACCCGAGTAGTATCTACACCTACATACACGATATTACAATGGGGGCTCAACCCGAGTGGTCTCTACACCTACATACTCGATATTACAATGGGGGCTCAACCCGAGTAGTCTACTACATCTAC